GACGCTCTTCCGATCTCCCCAAAACCCCAAAACCCCGAAATATAGCAGTAAAGCAAAAATAGCAAATATATTATAACAAAATAATTCAAATATATACTTTAGATGATAATATTATCTCGCTCAACAGGAAAACAAAACTCATTTACATAATCATTCAGGTTCTTTGCTCCTTTAAAGCAGCTTCTCTCCAGGACTAAGAGTATTCATCGATCTTAGCCATAAATTCATCCTGAAATCCAACTTACTCCTGTTTTTGCATTTACTTTACAGCATCTAAATTTAGTTTGAAGCCAAGGCCAGTTGGTTTGCTTCCTGCTCCACTCATAGATGTATTCAGATTTTATTGTTTATTTTGATTCATCTAATGATTCTACGTTTTATTGTAATTACTGATATTATTACTGCTGCTCATTAGCTTCTGCTAACTTTGATTATGAGAGTCATAGTTTGATAACTATTATGATTGATTTTTGTAGTTATTCTGGTAATTGCTATAAGTTAGATGTGATTATTTAAGACTTTGAGACTAGTTAACTGAGTATTATTACTATTAACTTTCCTTTGTTGAGGGTTAGTAGTTGCTTTTTAGCTTTGAAAAATCAAGTGGTGGTATATAAACACTATGATAGGATTTCTTGAGCAAAACAGACTGGTTGCTCTTATCTAATTCGTATGAATCAAACTCTTAAGATAGCATGTCATCATCAACGTTGCTAACATTTTGCATTCCACTTAGCAGAAGCTTCATCATTTTAGTCTCCTTTACTTGGTTTTCGTGTTGCTCCTAGAGTTCAAAAGTACTTTGTTTCAAAGCCTTTATGTCATTTAAGATCAACTCCTCAGAGTCACTGAAATCATGCACTCTAAGATCATCAATAATTACTACTTCAGCATCATTAGCGCCATAAGTGCTACTCGGCTCTATATCTGATTAATCTTCAATGAAGTCATGCGTTTTATCGACTGAATTAATAGCATCCTCCTCCAGTATTTCATGATTGTTATTCTCGTAGAATTGATCTCTCTTAATCTTTGATAAGTCAAGCTTTGGAATTATGACTGGTGCAGCACTCTTGTTCTTGTGATGCATGCTCTGCTGGTTTTAGCTTATCACTATTATGTTCTAGCCTGATGCTTGCTTCCCATTCATCAAGCCATTTGGATGTGAAATTCTACCTGGGATGATTTATTGCTGCTGTGAATAATGATTAGTCTTATGATTTGAACTTAATTTTATATTACTTTGTGAGGTGTTATGATTAAGACCTGATGAAGTGTTACTATAACAACCAGCACTGCTTGTATTTACTCTAGAATCTGTAAGTGATTGCATTTACTTGATGAGACTCTTATTACTAATTTCACTTTCCTAGAGTTTCTTATACTCTTATTTAAGACTTGATAAGTATTGCTCCTAATTTATAAGACATTATTACTAAGCCTACATTTCCTCAAACATCTAAGTCATTCTCTTCTCAGCCTGTATTCGCTTTTATCTCTCATTTTCATATTATTAAATGACCTTATTATAGTCATCAGTATTTTTATCTTCCTTTCTAAATTTGTTCAGCTAAGATTGATAGTACTCCTTGATAACATTCAAACTTTAAGCATCTTGCTAGTTCTTCATTTATGAGATTATATCATTGAACACATTGCTTATGATTGATTCCTTTTCAACTAGGCTGTACTAAGACTGAGATTACAATACTTAGCAGACTGTCTCAAATCTATTTGAAGATTAGTTATCAACTATTTTAATCTGAGTGGTATTACTTCCACTTCTTTGGTGATAGTTGCCACCATTCATACTTTGATTGTGCTATTCCTTGCCCTTAATGCCAGAGGGGGATCCATTTTCAATTTCATACTCATTTGGAATGATATCAAGATTAATCTCGTCATCTAACTGAAACTTCTTGATTGGATGAGCCTATGTTTCTACTTGCCTATCAAGGTTTCGCAATAGATCGTCGAATTGAAAACTTAATTAGTTGTCATTGCAAACTAACCCTCGCTTATTCCCATGTAAGACCATGCTTTAGTTGTGTTTGCTATCTCCATAAGTGTTAGTATTGTGAATAATCACACTTTGATTTACACTTGAAGTAGGCTTTATGTTTATTTTTGATTGGCTTTGCAAGGATTTATTCAAATTAATATTGTGATTTGATATACTTAGGTTTTGACTAATGGTATTTTGCTGGTGATTGTTACTGCCATTCTAAGGAGCATTAGATTTCTTTCTATTAATTTAATTGTTAACATGACTATTCTTATGGTAGTTTAAAGAGGAATATCTATTCTATGATGAACTTTAAGTATTATTTAGATAGTTAGATTGCTGACTAGTTGGTGGTGGAATTTAAGACTATGATTTATTGAGATTTGTTGAACTGGCAGTGGTAGTGTTATTATTGTTATGCGCAGAATTCAGTTTAGAAGAACCGTTATACATATTACTTGATTGATTATTGGCACTACCATTATTTATAAGAAGGTTCTATTGATTTTAATGATAGTTTTAAGATGAATATGTGATGTTGAAATCTCCGTTATGATTGCTATTAGACAAAAACGAGAGATTTTTCTTCATGGTTTTACTATGGTTACTACTATTTAGATGACCATTAGTTTGGTTATGATTAACCTAATTGCCCTGAATTCCAACTTTCTGATCTTAATAAATAGTTGGCTTATTTAATTTCTGATATGATTTATTCATATTCAAACTAGAAGAGGTATTGCCGTAAGTATTTTAAGATTAAGGATTATTAACTATGATGGTTGAGGGAGTGCTGTTTGATGCCCCCACTCCACTAGTTCTCTTTTGATTGACACTGCTATTATTCTTAATATGAGCGTTCTTACCAGAGTATGTATTATTTGCTAAAGCTGTAATGCTGTTAGTAGATTTATTTAAAGATATGCTGATTCCTGTTTTAGAATTCTATTTCTGTAATTAATTTTGATTTGTTTGTTGGGAGTTATATAGAAATTTCTGATAAGTACTGTTGTGAGCAGCATTACTTGTTGAGGCTTATCTGTTTTATGATACTGAAGTTTACTTCCCTTTTATTTATTATTATATCTTTGAATCATAATGTTCAAGAAATGTGTTCATCCAATTTTGATTGAGAGCATTATTGTTAAGTTGTGAAGAATTAGGATTATTGCTACTTTGACCTACTTTAGTGTTGCTTTTACTCTTTTAATTTTTGGAGTGTTGATTTTAAAAGCTTATGTTATTGAAGGTTTAGTTAACAGGGTTATGCTTTAGGGTCATTGAATCATTTAGAAGAAGATTAATGTTACTAGATGTGTTGCTTATCCCCTTTATAAATTATTGAGTTGGAGATTTAGTAGAATCAGGCTTTAAACCAACTAGTTATTGTGTCGAAGATGAACTCCTAACATTAGTCAGGTTTTTTTATTCTGATCCTTCTTTGAAATTAGAGGTCTTTAGAAATTAGGAGACACTTTTTACTTTCTTTAAACTGTTTGATAGCTATCTTTGATAATTCCCACTCCCATAATTATTGTATTTAGATGGAGTGTTATTTGCTGATGAACCCTTGCTCAATGAAGATGTCGTCTCGTAATTTCTAATTGCCAAACTAGGATGCTGCTATTAATTTTTCTTCAATGAAGAATTCTACTGCTGCTTTAAAGAATTAATTCTATTTTAAGAAGTATTTTTATTCACTCTTTTGTCATCATCTATTCTTTGACCATTTTCTAAGTATAGTCTGTTGCCTGATTAGTTTCCCTTCAGACTATTGCTGTTTGAGCTTAAATTATTAGATTGCTCACTAGACATCCTCTTTTATATATCCTTGGAAAGATGCTTGTTCTTTAAAAACTAATAGAGAGCATTAGTCGATGAGACAGAATTAGTGGTAAGTGACTCTTTTTGATTTTGTTTTGAGTTGCCTTAGTTGTTAAGCTGCTATTACAAAATTTGATTTGTATTTTTATTCATGATATTTTCTTTTTCATTGTTATTGGTGCAGACAATGTTGTTGTTTATTGCTTAGATATTATTGTTTTTGTTCATAGTTTAGCTCTAAGGATTGCTAGTCCCAAGATTGACTGAATTATTGATATTGCTAGAACTAGTATTAATGAGAGCATAGGTTTTATTGGGAGGCTTTTATTGCGCAAGAGTACTATTATAATCCCTAATTGACCCATTAGTACTGCATTTCCCCTCAATATCCAAGATAGGATTGTTAATTTTTTGTGAATATTAGTTTTGATTAGAAATGTTCTCTATGTGCTAGGACTAGTTCTAGAATTGAGCATTGATTGTAGAGTGTCCATAAACACTCTTATCCATAGTGCCTCCATAATTGAAATCTATAGACTCATCTTCCATTTCAAATTCAATTTAGTCTTAATAATATGATTACTAAGGTTATTAGGATCCATATAACATTGCTTGATACTACTAGTTCAACTAATCATCTTGTTAGTCTTCATACACTTCGGGAAAAACATCATACTTTTGCCTATAAGAGGAAGGAGGCTTAAATTGATTTACTCTAGCCTCTAGCTCATATGGATTTTCAAATGGATTTTCGAATTAATTGGTTTAAGTGTGCAAGTTTTGTTTACAAGCTTGAATTACGTTTTAATGCTGCACAATCTCTTAGCTTGTTTAAATCATTTTTTAGACTTCATCTGATTCATATAGAGTTTAAATATCCATAAATGAAGAATCAGGCCTAGCAAAGACTTGCTGGATTTTGAACTGCTTCATGAGGAAGTAGTTTTTGAATTCTAATTATTTTGGAGCAACTATCTCTTCAGAAAACTTTAGAATATCTTTTTAAGGCTTAGGATGAGGAATGGTAAACTGTGATTATCTGGCTATTTTATCGCTAGTCGAAGTCTCAGTAAAGTTTTAATTAAACCTCTAACATTGAATTAAACTTTATCTCTCATATTTAAATTGCTAATTGCTTTCATATTTTACACTATTTTCTAACCTTTTGTTAGCATTCAAATTACTTCCAAATGGCTATTAGATTTACTAGAAATTATTGGATTCTGATTATTGTTAAATTAAATTTCCCTACTTTGGCTTCATTTAATTAGTATCAAATTTACTTTACTAAATATCAAATCTTCTATTATTAGTTTTTTATTCCTTCCTTTTCTAATATTTCTCCTCTCTTATATTTTTCCCAGATTAATTATTTAATAGAGCATTAGTCATGCTTATATCTTTTTATACTTATGGTATTTAGTTAGTCATTGGATGAGGCTGAACATTAGTAGATTCCATGGAAGTATCTTTAATAGATTACTTATTCACTTCAATTTGGGAGTTTCTGTTATCTTGCTGAAAATGTGCATTATTCAATTTATTTTCATCATTATACATTGGATTCTCAATTTATTATAGTTACTAATCTTTCATAATTTTAATAAACTTGCCGGTCTTTTCTCCTGGTAAGAACTTAAAGAAATCTCCTAAAGACTTGGACTAAAAATTATAAAAAATCTTTAAAGTTTACAATTGGATGTGACTCTCGTATATCTTTTGGTCTATTCATTCAAATTAAAAAATTAATTATAGAAATTATCTTATACTTTGATTAAAATAGTAAGAGGGGTTTTGGGGTTTTGGGG